TGAAATGTTCAAAAATTGTGTTTCTGTTGTTGGAAGGGCTAGTAGCAAGGGGATTATGGAGGATCTTGTTGGATATATGATTAGGCAAGCTTTTGATTCTTAATATGTATTTGAGTATAAGGCTATGGCGTCTTAGTTCGAGGGGGAGTTCACCAGCGTTGCAACTAAGTTTTTATACTTAATAGTTTCAGGATATTCTACCAAATAAAATATTTTGATTATTTATACAAAAATAAGCATTTTGAGTTTTGAATAATTTTACATATTTTATCCTTAACTGGTTTGGTGACATTTGAATTTTACAGCGTCTAGTAAATAATACATTAATGAAAACGATTCAAGTTTAATTCTGAGGCAAAATAAAATTCATAAATTTTAAATACTAAAAAAAAAATAAAAAATAATATGATATAATATAACACAATACACAATTGTATACCCAGTTGAGGGAAATTAGTTTTTTTTTCATAAGCACTAATAATATAACATTTCTGGTATCGTAATAGAAATAACCAATAAGTATACACTTTAAAATCACACATGTTCGACATTTCATTGCTTACGATAAAACATTATTGACTAGTGAAAAAAATAATATTATTATACTATAGTTTAATAATATTAAATTATTATAGATACTGAGTGGAGCAACGAATGTATTGAATTTATAATGTATACTTTTTTTAAAGAAGATACAAATTTTACCTAATGTCCATCTTATAATAATTTTCAATACATGAAAATTATTTGAAAAAAATGATTATTTACTTAAAACTAGGTATTTATAGAAACTTTAGATTAGAATTTTTTTTCTCAAAATATCGTTCAAAAATTCTAAACAGGTAGTATAATTAGATATTAAAGATCAGGGGCGAACGCAGAGGGGTTTTTGGGAGTTTAATCCCCCCCCCCGAAATAGGTTAGGAACGGTCTTTTTCTTGTMTTCAAAGATTGAAAACATATCTGCGCAAGGTTAGGTTAGGTTAGATCTTGTTTTATATAAGTAATTTAAATTGAATTGACAAATTTTATATAAGTATGAATAATATTATATTTATGAATACTTACTTTAAATTTTTTCAACCCCCCCCCCGAAATTTTTTCCTGCGTTCGCCCCTGTTAAAGATCTAAAGATAGTAAAAAAAGCTTGATATTATGTTTAAAATATTTTTCTCCGTTAATTGTATATTACTAATGGCAACCTTCCTTCTGAGTCATATGTAGAATGTAGATGTATATTCGGTTCTATTATAATTGAATTGTTGTTAGGTTAGTGATTGATTCTATAAGAATGGAACCTATTTTTATTTTACAAAAATTAAATATTTTTTGATATTTTATTATATTCTCCATTTATTTATTTTATAGGCTGGTGTATCTATACTAAGTATCTTATCAATATGCGATATTGCGTATGCAATAATTCGATATTCATCAGGGATGGATGTATTTAGTGTAGATATTTTTACACCACTTGTAAAACTAATAACATTTGTAAGTATATTGATACTTGATTTAATATTTTTTTATACTTACATCATATCCGATGTTTAAAAACAGTATTTTAGAGGACATGAATGTTTTCGTTGGAGTTTAATTAAATCAAACATGATTAAAAATTATCAATATAAATTCAAGTAATTCGAATTTGTAATTTACTCACATGCGTAGGTATATATTTGTTTTGGATATAAGAGAAATCGATTTTTTTTTTTTTAGTTTTTTTAATATTTAATATTTTGGTGTATGATTATAAAATAGCTTAGTAATTTATAAAAGATTATACCTTTTTATTGAACTTTTTAAGTGAATTGCTTTACAGATATTTGTCATAGCTTTAATTAGTGCAAATCGAGCTAGAGGATTAAAGTCATCTGGATTAATATTTTTGTTTTGGTTAATCATGGCATTTTGTGGGATGTTTCAATATCGAACCGAACTCCGATTATCATTTAATGATGTAAGATAACTTACTATCGATACTTGTTTATTATATGAAACACATTTAACTGTATAGTCAAACATTTTTTTCCCATATTTAGATTTCATTTCATAGTTACCCATTTATAAGTTACATGGTATACTATCCATTAATCCTAATGGAGTTTGTTTTATGTTTCTTTGCTGATGCTTCCCCCAGGCTATCTAACTATGGCTTCGTCCAAGTAATTTTTTCAATATATATCTCATCGTATTTATTAATTGTATATTTCATATTAAAACACTGTAAAAGTGTAAATCAATGTATAGGTACCATGCCCTGAAATGAAAGCATCATTCCCATCAAAGCTATTTTATTTATGGTATGAATCATTTGCTTGGTCTGGTTATAAACGCCCCATAAAAACCTACGATTTATGGAGTATGAACCATAATGATTGCTCAAAAGTAGTAGTTTCAGTTTTTAATAAACACTGGGAAAATTCATTAATTAAAGCAAAGTAAGTACCTACCAATGATTCATCATTAGAAGTTATGATGATTTCAATCAATGAAAATATTATCACACACGTAACATATAAATATTAGCCTTTTGTTATTATGCAGATCATCAATCCAATGGACCAAAAGTCCTTAATATCCTACTAAAATGTTTAATCAATGTCGTAAAACAATATGTTTATAAGTTTTTTATTATAATCAAAAACAATTTTTGTAATCAATAAAATTTAAAAAACTTTACAGATTAAAAAATAGTAAAAATGTAGCTACTATTAAAAATAAACTTGATGCGAGTATAATGAAATCTTTACCTGCAAATTATTCACATCAAAACCAATACAATGTATCAATACTTTCTGTTTTGTGTAAATCATTTGGGAGTACATTTTTGTTCGGATCATTTTTAAAGTTAATTGTAGATTGTTTAATTTTTGTCAGCCCTCAAGTATTAAGGTAAGTATTTAGTTCATACTATTTAATTCGCTGTATGTTATAGATAAATATTTTTTTAGGCATTTGATAAGTTTCGTTAGACATTCGAACGAGCCTTTATGGAGAGGATATTTTTATATTTTTCTCATGACGCTAACAGCAATTTTGCAAACATTAATATTATCTCAGTACTTTCATCGTATGTATCTCGTTGGTATGCGTGTTCGTACTGCACTTACTTCTGCCATTTATCGAAAGGTAAATATTTAAGTAACCATTTATATTTTTCAGTTGATATAATTCACAATAATAGTATTAAATTTAATTATTTACAATTTTAAGGCTTTAAGAATTTCAAACACGGCCAGAAAATCATTCACGACTGGTGAAATAGTTAATTTAATGGCAGTAGACGCGCATAGATTTATTGATGTTATAACTTATTTGAATTTGATTTGGTCTGCACCATTCCAAATTGCTTTCGCAGTGTACTTTTTGTGGCAGCTATTAGGACCCAGTGTACTTGCCGGGCTATTTTTTATGATAGTATTAATACCAATTAACAGTGCTGTGGCTACTAAATCCAAAAATCTTCAAGTCATACAAATGAAAAACAAAGACGATAGAGCTAAATTGATGAATGAGATTTTGTCCGGAATAAAAGTAATGATTTAGAACACAATTATAAAGATGATATATTTTTACACATTAATTTAATAGGTTCTTAAACTATATGCTTGGGAACCAAGTTTTGAACAAAAAGTGTTGGATATACGAGGAAAAGAAATCAAAGTTCTTCGTAGTGCAGCTTATTTGAATGCAGTTTCTACATTTATTTGGTCTTGTGCACCATTTCTGGTATGATATTTTTGTATTTTTTATTATACATAAATTGCATTATGTTATATTGATTTATTATAAACTTGTAAGATACCTATAGTAATTTAATGAATGAAAATTACGAAGCTTATTGAACTTATTTATGACAAATTATTATTTAAAATTTACTATACAATAATGTTGTGTTTGTATTGTTATAGGCAAATTATTTAAAAATTATGTTCCACTGTGAAAATAGAAAAATAATCTTGCATAAAAGTTCATAATATTTTTTGAATTACAGAAATTAATTTTATTTAAAACTAATTGTACATAGATATCGTTTTTGAATTTTTTCTATTTCATCAAATTCAACATGATTCTAAATAAAATCCAACTCTATGCCAAATGAACTTATGGAAATTTGTGTTATTTTATTGTAATGTATGTATATATTTTATGGTATCACAATATGTCCGTTTCATTAAGCATAAGGTTTTAACTTTTTATGAATTATGAAATATCAAAATAAGTTGATTGATTAGTGTACGGTAGATCGATTGATATATTTATACTTCAATTCTATGCCTAAAGCAATTGATTGAATTTATAGGTATATTTGAAAATAATAATAATWATATTATGATATATTTTCACATAACTATGTATTTGTTTTTTATCTGTCAATTAATCATTAAATCTAGGTATCATTAGCAACTTTTGCAACGTATATATTCTCTGACGATAAACATGTGTTGGATGCAGAGACAATTTTTGTTTCTTTATCTTTATTCAACATTTTACGTTTTCCATTAACCATGTTACCAACGTTGGTGTCAAATTTAGTTCAAGTAAGTTTCCTGTTTAGCATTGTAATAAATGAATGAATTATTATTATTTACTAACATTTTATAGTCAAATGTATCTGTAAAGCGAATAAATAAATTTATGAACTCAGAAGAGTTGGATCCAAACTCAGTTACTCATGATTCTGGTGAAAGTACGTAACATTTTTTACTTATTGAATTTATTTATTTAATATTTTGTTATGATTTTTTAAATTAATTTCAATTTGTAGGGGATCCTCTTGTAATTGAAAATGGAACATTCACTTGGGGTGAACCAACTGATGCACCAACATTATTAGACATAAATTTACGAGTTTCATCTGGACAATTGGTTGCTGTTATGGGTACAGTTGGTTCTGGAAAGAGTTCTTTAGTGTCAGCTTTTCTCGGTGAAATGGATAAGGTTTCTGGCAGAGTTAACACTAAAGTAAGTATATAATAATTAATTATTTAAACTAATGTTATTAGTATATTAATAACATATTAATTTTAAGGGATCTATAGCATATGTACCACAGCAAGCATGGGTACTGAACACATCACTTAAGGATAATATATTGTTTGGTCAAACATTTAATGATGGCGCTTATAAAAAGGTCATTGATGCATGTGCATTGAAAGCTGACTTCCAAATGCTTCCAGCAGGTGACGACACAGAAATTGGTGAAAAGGTAATTTTTTATACATATACCAGGTATGTTAAAAAATGTATAGGCATATTTATCAAATTGATATTTTTATAGGGAATTAATTTAAGTGGAGGTCAAAAACAAAGAGTAAGTTTGGCAAGAGCAGTTTATAAAGAGAGTGACATTTATTTTTTGGACGATCCATTAAGTGCTGTCGATTCACATGTCGGTAAACATATTTTTGAGCATGTTATTGGACCTAAGGGGTTGTTACAAAATAAAGTACCTAACTATACATCATATTAAACTAACATTTTCTCGATATTTTAACATATTTAATTATTTTTTATTTCAAAGACACGAGTTTTGGTCACTCATGCTATTACATATCTCAGAGAAGTTGATTTAATTGTGGTAATGAAAGATGGCCAAGTATCTGAGTCTGGCACATATAAAGGATTGCTAGACAAAAAAGGAGATTTCGCCGATTTCTTAATATCGCACATACAAGAACAAAATGATTATGAAGTTGATGAAATAGGTAATATATTTATAACTTTGGTAGTACTAATATTTTATGAAATGTACGTACTTATCAAAATAAATTTGTTTAGAAATGAATATTTTATTAGAAGACGCATCTCCAGGTATAAAAGAAAAATATTCTCGTCAGAGAAGTGAATCCAATTCGATTTATTCAATGCAAAGGTAATACAAATTACAATTAATATACTGAACCTAATTACAAACTTGTGACCTTATAAATGAAAATATTTAGGCAAATATCTACTGATTCAAAGAATCCAATTCCTCGACCTGCTGTGGAACAGAAATCTAAACTCATTGAATTAGAGAAAGCAGAAACCGGCAATGTATGTGTGGCCTTTTAAATAAATATACAAATTTAATATGTAAAAAATAATGTATTTTATTAATTTTAGGTCAAATGGGATATTTACATTCAGTATATTAAGTCAATTGGACCTATTTTTTGTATAATTTCAGTATTTCTAGCTATTGTATCTCAAGGATTTTCTATTTTATCGAACATCTGGCTATCTGTATGGTCTAATGACGATAGTTCACTTATTACTGGTAAAACAGAAAATTATAGTAAAAGGCTAATTCACATAACAGTTTACGGACTACTTGGCGTTGGCCAAGGTAAGTTAAAAAATTAAAGTAAAAAAAAATATAACTTCATTTTTAACCAATGGATTTAGTTTTTCATTGAACATTAATTTTTTAGACTAGATTTAATTTTATCTATATATTTCAATTTTTTCGAGCTTTTATGGTTCTATATTTTTTTAATTTTATTAATTTGATATTTTCAAAATTATAGGTAATATATATATATAATATATATATATATATATATTATTTAAAATGTTTAATATTACATTAAATACGTAGTATAATAATTTATAGTACATAATATACAATTTTCTGGTATTAAATTAGATACCTGTTTACAAATACTTTTTGTGCATTTTTATAACAAGATTATTGTTACACGGAGTCATGGATATGTAAATTATAGTTACCTACACTTAAGCCGAACATTTTTTATGAGTTTTCAGAACCGAGTGTTTTTAGTTTTTTTTGCAATTAAAGAAAAAGTAAATTTTTGATTCAATACTATCGTAGTGTCGTAGGCATATCAGTTTGGTTAAAGTATTTGGATTCCAAGCTACTGACGAACATACAATTTTCATATTTTTTTGTCATAAACAGCCTAATCGGCGTACATACAAATTGTCTATAATTGCAATGTTTTTTTTAATTATGTGGAATATATTTAAATTATTTTGTGTATTTTTAGTATGTACATTTATTTAATTATTATTGCATTTTAAAATTATCATACAAACAAAATTGTGTTGCTATTTTTTTCAATCTAATCTTTTAACTCTGGATTTGTGATAATTGAATTTTTTTTTAGTTTTTTCATCGTTAGCCTCATCAATAGCGTTATCGTTTGGTACATTACTTGCTGCTGAGAAGTTATACAAATTGATCAATGCACGGATTTTTAAAAATCCACTAAGCCTGTTTGATACAACTCCTATCGGACGAATATTAAACAGAGTATCTAAAGACATTGATACCATTGATAATGTATTGCCATTAATGATATCATCATTTCTAACTGTCACAGTTTCGGTAAATTTAAATTTAAATTAAAAATAATATACACATAATAAAAATATAATATACTATATAACGTATAAATAAACAAATAAACATATATATAATATATATAACATAATAAAAATATGCTTTGACTGTGCCTTGTATATTGCTTTTAGTCAAAAATATTTTAAAATTCATTCTTAATGGATAAAAGTGTAATTTACTACATTAAGCTTATCAAATGTTATAGGCACCTTCAAGTTTATCACAGAAGTAAAACTGCAAAATAAAATATAAATAAAACTGTATAAATAATTAATTAATTTGTGGATATAAATAATGTAAAAAAAAAACTATTGTAACCCAATAGCCTATAATAAAAAAAAAAAAAAATGTTATAGGACTATTTATAATAATAATTGATAAAAATAATACTTCAAGGCTGAGAGAGATACTTATATTTTTTTAAACTAAGTTAACTTGAGTTATTTTACTTTCAATTAAATTAATAGTTAAGATAATAGCAATTTTTAATACATAAATTAGGTTCATGAATACTTTTTACTCAATTTAATATAATATGTAATATTATATACCTGTATATATTATATATATAAGCTCCATATCATATTCTCAGATATTGGATAATTTCATTGACACAATTTATATATATAGTATAGTATAGTAAAATATAGTTCCTATATACATACATATATATATAGGAAATCAATTAATCAGATGCGTTCTAAGTTCAGTTGGGACACGTTTTAGTTGTATAATATATAGTATAATTTACGAGAAATTCTTATAAGAAATTATATTGAATACAGCAATGTTTGAGTATTGAGTAATGAATTCATTCAATTCATAAACATTTTCACTTATTCGACCTTTATTAATATACACTTCTTATACGAGATATATAATATTGTAATACATTTAAAATTGATTTAGCTGTAATAATTAAAATTTTACTTGAAATATTATAAGCATTATAAATTTTATGTTTCAGGTTATTRGTACTTTGATCGTTATCAGTTATAGTACACCCATATTTGCAGCGGTGATTATTCCTATTGCTATAATTTATTGCATCATACAGGTACCTACCTAATTAATATAAATATATTATAGTTTTTAAATTTTGAAGATAATTTTAAGATTAAACTGATATTCTTACTTTTATTTAAAGAGATTTTACGTTGCCACATCGCGTCAGCTAAAAAGACTCGAGTCTGTTTCTCGTTCTCCAATTTATTCGCATTTTAGTGAAACAATTGCAGGAGCTACATCGATTCGTGCTTATGGTTTAAAATCTAAATTTACACTTCAATCTGATCAAAAAGTAGATTTCAATCAGATGTGCTATTATCCTAATATCGTGGCCAATAGGTATAATATTAGCCTTGATAACTACGTATTTACTATACGTGCTTATATAATATGGAGACATGCTGTATATTATGTTATATATGATATATGTATTTAATTTGTTTTGTCATAGATGGTTAGCTGTAAGGTTAGAAACAATTGGTAGTTTTATTATTTTATTTTCGTCGATGTTCTCAGTATTGGGAAGAGATACATTGAGTCCAGGGATTGTTGGTTTGTCTATCAGTTACGCTCTACAGGTATACATTTACATTTTATAAAAAAGAGAACAATTTTTCTTCAATATCGTTTTGTACCTACTAAGATCACACAAATACTCAATTGGTTGGTTAGAATGACTTCTGAAGTTGAAACTAATATTGTAGCTGTGGAACGTATTAAAGAATATGGAGAAACACCTCAAGTAATATATAATGTCAAATATAATTTATTTATTTGATCATATATAAATATTTACTTTTACTTTTCAGGAAGCATCATGGGACGTACCATCTAATTTGCCACCCAAAGAATGGCCAACAAGAGGAGAAGTTCAATTTAAAAATCTTAAAGTTCGTTATCGTGAAGGATTAGACTTGGCATTGAAAGGCTTAGATATTTTAGTAGAAGGAGGTCAGAAGGTAATTATAAAAAATGTGCCTCTGAAATCACGTTCCTAATCGAATCTAGTATAGGTGGGAATTGTTGGACGTACCGGAGCGGGTAAGTCATCTTTGACTCTAAGTTTATTTCGTATCGTCGAAGCTGCCGAAGGATCAATTCTCATTGACGGCGTTGACATATCTAAAATTGGATTGCATACATTGCGTAATCGTCTCACAATCATTCCTCAGGTAATTATTCAGACATTATTTGCAGTTGTAAATAAGAACCTGATCAATATAATTTTTTTTGACAGGACCCAGTATTGTTTTCTGGTACATTGAGAATAAATTTAGATCCAACTAATAGCAATACAGACGCACAGCTGTGGAACGCCTTGGAACTTGCCCATTTAAAAGCATACGTTATAGGGCTGTCTGGTGGTTTGGATTATGAAGTGTCTGAAGGAGGAGAAAATCTTAGGTAGGTACTTAATTATAAACAATAGTCGATAAAATCATTTATTCTGATTTAAAAATCTATCGTTGCGTTTGCATTATTTACAATTAATAATCATAATAAATTGTTGCGAAGTCTCGTCAAACGGTTATCATTTTATACCTTAAACTAATGAACACTTATGTTGAAATGTATGCTATATTATCAGTCATGTAGATTAAATAGTCGATTATGAGTTATGATCAAGTAAAAAAATTGGCAAAAATGTAAATATGGTGTTAAGAATTAACAATATATATTATTATGATTTATATTCTCTTTAATTATTAACTTTTGTATTTCAGTGTCGGCCAAAGACAATTGGTATGTTTAGCTAGAGCGTTGTTAAAGAAGACAAAAATATTAGTATTAGATGAAGCGACGGCGGCAATCGATTTGGAAACAGACGATCTCATACAAAAAACCATACGAACGGAATTCAAGGACTGCACAATACTAACGATCGCTCATCGTTTGAACACTATTATGGATTCTGACAAGTACTTAAACAAAACAAAATAATGTTTAAAATATATTTTGGTTAAAGTTAATAATCAATATATTAAATTGGTTGTCTCTGTATAGGATAATTGTCTTGGATAATGGTTTCATRGTTGAATATGATACACCTGCCAATTTACTGCAAAACAAATCGTCAGTTTTTCATTTGATGGCAAAGGACGCGGGTCTAACGCAATAACGATTTTCAGAAAATGATGGGTGTTGCACTTAGGTTTTTATTTCCTGAACGTGATTTTCTAAAAAAAATGCCTTAATATCTTAACAGATAACAATTTTTTCTAATGTTTTGTTGATGTCTAAAAATGCACCTGTAACTTATAAGTTATGGATTCATTTGTTGATCTAAATATTTTATTGTACTCGTGATACAAAATTGTAGCATGTCAATATAATTATATTTTACGAAAGGTCCAATACCATAAGTTATCCATACATACWTATTAATTATCTTAGTTCATTGAACCAACATAATATTCTGTTCAGTGTGGTGCATTTCTATTAACAACGACTGATATTATTATACCATAAAAAAAATACAAATTATAAATTATCATATTTTTGTGGAAATAAATATTTTTTTATTATCATTTAAAAACATAAAAATTAGTGCCAAAACGTTTTTTGTTGTATACATTTATATTTTTATTAAATTGTGACCATGGCATTGTGAGCTCGACGCTTGTTTACCGTATACAGTTCCGCTTGTTGTTGATGAGTTGAATAGCCTGTCGGACCTCGGTGACCGCCACCTCGCAGTCCATGAATGGCAACCATCTCAGCCATGAGTACGAGCAGTATCCTTCCGTGTTCTCGCGGCCCGTCGGCACATCCTTGACCGCATATTCGAGTGCTGCTTTCCTCGCGTCCTGTTGCACCTTCGGCGATTCCAGGGCCGCGGCCAGCAGCTCCTTTTCGTTGGCCGAACGGCCCTCTAGCCCGGCCACATTGTACAGGAGGCCGGCTGGAAATCCTTTGGCGTTGGCCTGCACCAGCGCGTCACCCAGGCTGCTGACGCCAGCCACCTGCGGGGTGAATCAGAGGACGGAAAACATATTCAATTGCTTGTTTAGAAAAATGTATTTTCCAGTGGTGTGCCTGCCATCAGGCAGCGAACAACAACGAATTAGTGTAAACACATATGACGACGTAGTTTCTACTACTACTAACCCCCCTTTTGGGGGTTTCGGACAATTTTTACGAAAATAACACAAGACACGAAGTTATTGCGATGTCTGGAGAATATAATAATTATAGTTTGACAGTTATATATGTCTAAGGCTGAGCTCTACTTATGTTGGGTAGATGCTATGGCCCTATCCTCTGACATAATTAGGACCCCAGATATACCTATTACTCTTATACAGTCATATAATTTTTATTTCTACCAATCAACATACTTATTGATTTATGGTATAATTTATTTACTATCTTAAAAATAAAAATAAATTGAATATAAAAAAGCGGGTAAGTGGATGTCGCTCTGCTGTACATTAGGTGGTGGGGTGGACCTCTGACTAGGGTAGGTTAGATTTGAATGCAATGATAGGTTGATACCTAGGTTGATACAATGATTTGTATACGAAAAACGATTCTGAACGGAGATGATTTGTCAGCCAAGGATATATTATAGATAATTARAAATTTTCAAATCTTTGATTTAAAAAGAAAATTTTGTATAAATTTCTAGCTTAAAATAATTTG